GAAATATCAACTCCCTCAGGCTATAAGGGTAGGGTATTTCCAGAAAAGTTTGTGCTAGTAGGATATAATGATTTATGGGTAACAATAGAAGCAGAACACAAAGTGGGTTTTTTGGGGTGGACAGTCTGACAGGACCAGGTGAGCTGGAGCCAGTGCTGTGCAGTGGGAGATGTGAGCCTTTCCAAGGCTGAAGATGAATTCTGCTTCAGTGTCAATCCAGTGCTTTGCTTTCTTCTGCTTTGGTGTCTGTGCAGCACAGCTCAGCAAGCAGTAAGACTTGAGAAAAGTATTAAGTCAGAGGCCCGAAGTTAACACCCTGGTGTTTGGGAGCAGTCACTGGCAACATGGAGGTCTGTTTAAATGATTTGAATGTGATGGTGGGGAGGATTTGCTAAAATTAAAATACAGATTTGGTCCAGACTGGCATGGAAGGAAAGTTTCTTAGCTCTTCCTCTCCCTCACCACTCTCCCCCCCGCCTCCGCCATTTCAGTGTTTTAGTCACTAATTGTGAAAGAAATCCTTCCTCCTGACCTTCAAAAAATTGTGCTTCAAAAATTTGGGAATGTAAAATACTAGCTAAGTGATGCTATTTTCCTTTTGGCCCTCTAGGACAGTAAGTGAATTAATGTGTAAGATACTTCCTTCTGTGGATTTGGCAAAAACTGCTGTCGAAGAAGGTAAGATGCAGACAAAGAAAGGTAGATGCTAAAAGCATCAGGGAATTCCTGAGTCAGTGACAGCAGCCTTCTCCTCCACCTCATCTTCAATGAGTCTTTTACCCATAGTTATGTTATGAGAGGCCTTCACGTCTGTCAGATTGAAGTGCAACTTGTTAATACACCTGACAGGTTTCTATTTAATTTTTTTTGAATAATTAAACATAATTTGTTCGTTTGTCTTTGTTTTTTCTTTTGAACTATTTTCAGACTAAGGCCCCTAGAAACCTCAGAACAAAACTCACCTCTCCTTTCGGAAACAAGCCCCAGCCACCTGGATTCTTGGGGAGGTTGTATGAGATTCCCTGACAGTCTGCCTGATAGACTGGAGTTAGAGAATAGTAATGTGCTTTCTAGAAGGAAAGAGAAAAATTTGTCCCTAAAATAGATGACCATGCTGTACTAATTAATTATTGATGTTATGCTGGACTTCTTTCTTCTATTTTTGAATTGGAGGAAGAGGTGGAAATCTTTATGGAGGGGTAGGTGGGATTTTGTGATTCCTGTTTAAAAGACAATTTAAGGCCAGTCCCCAGTCTGATAATGTAAATGCAGCACGCCTGCATGTCTGCGTGTGCCTAGAGAAAACTGCAGTATGAAAACTGTCACCAGTCATCTGTGAAAACTGTCATCTCAATATGATGAGTACCGTACATATGCAATATCCTCAACCTCATGCATAAGGTCATAACTGTGCTTCCATTCTGAAAGCAAAAGAATTGGGAAATCTATAGTTATTTTTCCTAGAGCAACTGGATCTCTGCTGACTTGCATGTTACTGATTTTACACCCTTCCACCCTGCGTAACACAGGCAGGTTTGCGGGCTGTTAGCAATATATAGCCATTACTATAAAGGACACAAGAGGAGTATTCCAGAGTGATGTAATCCTTAAAATTTGTACTCCCTGGTGCAAATAGGTGGGTTTATATTCCTACAAAACAAGCTTTCAAGATGAAGAGGAAGTCTGTCTGTTGCTGCTCTTGGAGAGACGTGCCACCCCCAAGCCCGGGCCGGCTGCTCTCTGCTGGGGCCATCCAAGAAGAAGTTGACCCGCAGGAAAGGGGAAAGGGTTGGTGAATATTGTTATTTTTTTGATGTCAGTTTTTAGATTCAGTGGGTTTAAATCAGAGTAGCTCAGTTTAAGTCAACAGAAGCGCCTGAGAACCTCGCTGGTGCTGGGGTTCTTTTTCTACTCTAAAGGTGAGAACAAAAATGCAATGCCATTGCCAAGGAACACACCACTTATATAGTGTGTGCTTCAGGAAAGAAGAGTTACTGAAGTATAAAACCTATTTTGGTACTGAATGTCTCCAATTGAAATTTGGCAGTTGGAAACCTGCCTCTTTTATATTTAACCTAAACTTTAAAGTTCCTTACCAAGAGCAGGGAGGTTGGAAAGGAGAGCAATCAAGCCTGCTAACCTGCTTAGCTCTTGGCAGGAAGCCACCAGGCACAAGCACAAGCTGCCGTGGAGCAGTAGGAAGAAAGCTGAAGTGATTCCTAGCTTGTTAAATTCCTGCTAAACTGCAAGAAAGTAGCTTTGGTCTGAGTTTAGACACTACAAATCTGTGGGGAGTCTCTGACAGGTAGATGTCTGTCTCTGTTTTGAGAGATCTATAGAAGTAAGTTTTGTTCTAGCATCTCAATAGGGGTGATTTTTAGTTTGCTGGCTAGTGTTTCCTGTTTGGTTTTATTAATTCTAACTGAAATTCTATGATGTACCTGAGATCAAGTTGCTTGCTGGCACCTGTGAGATCACTTGCTTCTGAGGCTGGCTGAGGACTGGATTGCAGGTCTGTTCCATGGAAATCCAAGTACCCAGGAATATCTGATCACACTTTAAGTATGTGTTGCTGTTGCCCCATCTTTGCAAAAGAAGGAAATAGGGACTATTTAATTTTTTTAAATTTGCACCTAGTATTACCTCAACCAGACAGTTGTTTATTTCATTAATTGTAACAGAATATTCCTCCTTTGTCATCTGTGGGTGTTAAACATTTGCTAATTCATTTTCTAAGAAGGGTATGGGTGCCTGCATTCTATCTGCCTTCCAATTTACTGCTTTTAATAAAGTCCTAAATGAATTATTCTAGCTTGCATAAGCCTGGGAGACGGAGCTTGCTGCACTGTTGGCTGGCTGAGCTTTTCTTTGAAATACTAAGATTTATAAACAGGAAGAAAAAAAATTCCTCTCTTTATCCCCAAATCATTTTCAAGTCTGCCAATTTTCAAGGCAGGCAACATGGTAAAAATGTAGGTGGAGAGATGGACATGCTCAGCCTGACGCAGAGAAAGGGAGGGACACTCAGGGTGGGGGAGAGATTCTCAACTGGGAAATAGAAAATGTTGGGCGTGTGGTAGCACAGTTTCAGGAATTTATGTTATCAGTGATAATATCCCTTTGAATCTGAGGTCATGTGTCTTGTGATGAAACTTTTTTTTTGCAATTTCCTATCTGCTGTTTTGTTGGAGAGCTTGGTCATTCTTACCTTTGAGACCTGTATTTTGCATTTCAGGTTTTCCTGTGATCTCAGAACTGTCAGCTGACCCCATCTTAGTTTGGATCGAAAAATTGTCGTTTTAGGCATAAAATGCTTTTTGTGATATTGCTTATTTTTTTTTATTTAATAAAATACTGTTTCTGTTGCAGTTACTCTAGGCTTGGTTTAGAGGAAATTAGGCTTCACCTATAGGATGAAAACAGTTAATTATAAAAATGGCCATGGTAGCACAGACAGATACATCTGTTTGTTTATCTTGGGAAGAAACCCCTTAAAATTATTTGGAAAAAAGCTAGCATGTATGCCCAGTCTATGGAGAAGTTTGGTGTCTCAACTCTTAACCCAGAAATTTTTGTTTATACAAAACCTGCGAATCTCAAACAGAAGGAAATTGCTAGTTTCTTGGCTTTACTGGTATGAAGGTGTTAACATGTATGTTTTCTTTCTCTCCCCCACTTTTTTTTTTTCTCCTCTCTTGAATACTGATATCTGATCCTCCGATACAAAAGTCCACACATGTGCCTGCTAAATTGGGTTAGAATAGTTCAATGAGCATTGTTCTGTCTTATTCCTGCTCCCTTGCAGAGTTTTTTAAAAGGTGCGATTTCATGATTGAAATAAATATATTCTCTTGATTTCTTCAAAAAGCTTTGGATTTTAAAATTATTTTTCATCTGGCTTATAAAAAGATCTATTTTCAAGTTTCCAAATGAAAAATACAATTTTTAACGAGAACATTTTTAGCTCTCTTAAATGATCTGTTCTGTCTCAGTACTTTCTTGGATTTCTGTTAGAACAAGGACAAGAAAAAAATAAATCTCTCTTTAAAATGGAATGTAATTTGTCTTGATTTAGCCTGGCTTTTGCTTTAACAAAGAAAAAAAAAATAAGCTCTACAACAGATGAGATTTTTATCTTCGGTCTTGCATATTTATTTTCTCCAGATGGGAGAACAAATATAAAGTTGAATAATACCTTGAATCCTAGAACATAGTTTGACTGACAGATCTGCTGCCACAGATGGAGTATCTTTTGATGGAGAGATAACCTCACTTCTGTCACTATGTGGCAACAATCCCAATGTATTTTTCAGTACCAAAACCCATAGCATTAATGTAATCATTTACCAGGGGGCGGAATGGTTGGGGAATGACTGATACAGCATGCAGACTTTGCAAATGCAGACTTTTATGTACTTCATGTCTATTGAACACAAGCATAATTGAAGAGATGATTTTTCACTTTATTTTCTAAATTAGGTTATGAATGTACTGTTTACTGAGGACTTTTTGCTGCTTTTTTCTAACCTGGGGCTCATCTCTATCATCTAAATTAATTTTCTTCGTGGTATTCAGTGTATGTGCATGGGGAAAACTGTAGGTCTGTATTGCAGTGCAGAGTGAGAGAAGGTAAAGCATGCTTTGCAGCGTGTCTCTTACGTGCCTGAGCTGTCATAGTCCCGACAGCAGCTTGCGACACCTGCCTGGTTTGGGAAGATCCCCACACTGTAGTGTATGGATCCTCTGTTCTGCTTTTATTTCTCCTGCACGTGCGTTGTTGAATGCAGATGCTTTTTAAGGGTTTAAATTGAGGGTGGCTGTTTGGGTTACTCAGTCACTTGTCATGCTCATCTGATTCCGAGGCTCCTGCTGCCACAAAGGATGGCTGTGTGGATTTCTTCTGGTAACCTGCACCTTTGCGAGCTCAGCAGTTTTCATTAATCCCTCCTTGACTCTTCATAAATGAAAACTCTAATACGTGACTTGTTTTTGTTTTGCAGGTTACCTGATTTCTGCAGCGACTTGAGGGGTGCTGGTGCACAGGACTTCAGGACTTGGTGCTCTGGTACGGGTTTCCCACCAGCGAACTGAGGAGAGTAAGTAACTTGCTCTGTGTCTGGGGATCCTCTGGGGTGGTGGGGCTCTTTCTGCACTCTTCTTGTCTGTCTCAAACATTGAAGTCTCAGATTTCTGCCAGCACAGAGACCGGAGGTACATGTATTTCTAGGCTGTATTTACATTGTTTATCATGGTGCTTGTTAAAAAAGATGCTCCAAGTCTTCTAGTGCTCCAACAGGAGCAGTTCTGGGTTTATCCGTTCTTGCCGATTAGGTGTATCTGTGCAACAAAACACTACAACTTGCTCTCCCACCTCATGTGAGAAAAGGCTGCATGCAACAGAGGCGTTTCATAGTAGTGCTGTTCCTCTGTGCTGTCAGCAATACCATCAGTTAATGTGGACACCCGTGTTTGCTTTCAGTGTTTTGTGCAGCAGAAGTGCAGTCTCCTGTGACGGGTTCAAATGATTCCATGTGGGCCTTGGAGTGGGAGGGAGGCCCACAGCAGCAGCTGCTTCGTGACGCCAGCTGAGGCCATGTCTGTGGAGGGGTTATGTGGTGGCACGCTCCCCAACAGCCTCTGGCGCTGTGGCTTTCCCTTCCTTCTCGTGTGATCTTACAGGCTGGGGACGTACTTCCTAGTACCTGGCAAGCCACGGGGCTTCTTGTCTTCAGAAATAAGATATGCGTGAGGTCTGTCATTGTCTGCCCACAAAGAAAGTGCTGTTAGCAGGAGGACTTGGGCTAAGCATGTCTGTAGGTTTGTCTGTGCCATACCAGCAGTTGGGCTGGCAGAGCCTGGCAGAGAAACTGCAATTTGCTGCCCAAGGCACGAAGTTTTTCCATTGGGATTGCTGTTCCACCTTCCTGAAATGCAGCAGCACTCTTCTGGGCTTTTGCTGATGTAATCCTTACAAGGGTTTTATTTTGTATAGTCCTAACTGATGGAGGTGAGCTTGCAGAGCTTTCAGCTGTATGCCAGCCTTGTAGCCACTGAGCAAATCTTATGCATGCCTCAGGTTCTTGCTTTACTCGTGGGGTGCACAGCTGCAAGCTCTTATCCTCTAAGGTTTCTCTTCAGCTGGTTAGTTAAAATGTAGAGAGGAGATAAATGCCAGTACCTAGCTGAAACATTGATTTAGAAAATGATCTTTCATGCTGCATGTTACTTTTCCCAGAAAATTCCTTATTTACAAAGGACTTCTCATCCTGAAGAATTTCAGAAGTTTTATAGGTTTGTTCCTCCCATCCCAATAAAGCTACACTCGAATGAGGTGAAATATTTCTTATTAAAACAGTCTTTGCACAGAGAACAATGGGACTCTAGCCAGGGCTAATCTCATGTTGGCATGCAGTTGCATGAGAGACAAATATTTTAGCCAGTGCAGTAAGACAGATCTTAAGGGCTTATGTAAGGGTTCAGGGTTAGTCTTGGTCTTCATGCTTTTCATGTATGTTAATCAAGCAGACTTGGTGGTCTGTAACACACAGGAGGCTGGGCTAATGATGCAACTGTTCTTTCCAAGTTGTTTTTCTTTAGTCTCTGTACCTACTTGGCAGAGCCTCAATTCTTACATGGGAACTGAGCAGTATTCTTCTAAAACATAGAGCTGCTATGCAAATCATTAATTTGTATCATATACTAGGTCAATCTAGTGTCATTTTTCTCCCCCTCCTCTGCTCTCCCCTCCTCTGCCTTTCACTAGAGGACCCTGTAAGTCCTCTTGCTGTCCTCTGTCATTTTACGTATCAGTAAGGGAGTCTCATCATTTCCCTTAAATAAGATTCCAGTCTTTTCCCTGGGGAAGATGCTACTGGTTGAGGACTTCCGCCTTAATAGGACCAGTCACCCTAATCCGTCTTGCTCCTCTTTGCAGCCATGTCTGTTTCCCCAAAGGCCTGTCCATCAGAGCATCTTTAGGTGAATTGCTCACTGTGTGATGCTTGGCCGGCCTCTGTTTCACTGTCAGGAAGCACTCTTACAGGGCATGGTGCAGGCACTGGCCTGGAGTTGGCTAGGTGTCTTGCAGGCAGCTTTGTGAGACTATCCCTGCTAATCTTTAATCAGCATTCTCATGGCAGACAGCTTTGATGGCAAGCTGAGGGCAGTAGCACACTTCAGTCATTATTTAATGCAGTTGAAACTTCTCATTCCAGCTGCTCAGAGAGGATGCAGCTTGGCAGATCCTAGCTTTTCAAATTAAAAGGAAATACTACTCATTTTATGTTAACAGTGGGTTTTGGAGGTAATGGAGTTGGTGTGGGTTCAACTTCATGAGCAGCTATTGCTGCTTTTCAGAGTCTTTTAGCAAGCCTTGCAGACAAGGTATGGGTGTCATGCTCACAGTGGAGGGGGTGCTTGCCATATTGTCTCTGAGATCACAGATTCTATAGTGTAGACTAATTTTTTGCCAGGTTTCACTGGATTAACACTTACATATATAACAGGTCTACAGAATACATTTTAAAGGGGGAAGTCCATGCCATGAACAAAATCTGTGTGGACATGGCAACAGTTCAGGTTGTCCTTCAGGCCATTTCAGCATCTTCCTCCATGCCCCAGAGGGATCTCTGCTGCTTAATAACAAGAGAATTCAGTTTTCATGGCTGTTGCAGTATTTCTGCTGAGACAGAAATTTCTGTAGTGTGTGTGCCTTTCTGTTAGGGGTTGAACCAGAATCAACAGTTTGTTTCATAGGCTACTAGAAAATCCGTGGTTGCTCTCACCTCAGGATGTACTTGCATTGGTGACCCCTCTTTAGTTAAACCATTTCCTATTAAAAATAATTTAACACTGTTGGCTGCAAAGCAATGAGATTGGCTGAACCTGAACTTCAGGTCTAAGTATGGCCCAGAAGACACATGTTCTGTGATATGTAGTATCAAAGGTTGGGAGCCTGTAGGAGATGAGTTTATTGGGCTCCATTCTAACTGACCTCAATTCAGCCTGTTTTGGTGCTGAAATCGTATGAGACCATCTATAGTACTTCTTGCTTGGCAAATATGGTTGGGGTACCTCCATGGTAGCTCTCCAATAGGGTGTTGCAAGCCCCCTCTGTGGCTCAGAAGAGGCTATCAGAAAGTTCCTGCTATGTTACTGTTGCTTAGGACTGGAGAGAATAACTGCTTGTTTGTGAAAGGTGTTATTCACAAAATCAGGCTAATTCTCTGGTGCCTGATTTGCTTAATAATAGTAATAGGTTCTGAAGGAAACCCTGGGGGAACTTCTCAAATTGCAGAAGGTGAATGGAACAGACTGTATTTCTGCTCCCAGTGTTGTCATTGCTCATCATCACCTTTTGCCTCTGGTAACAGCAGAAGATGTAATACTAGGTTGTGTAGGACATGGTTCAGCCTTTTTTACTACCTTAGTATATCATACTTTCAAAAAGAAATACATTTCTTGCTATATTGATAGCAATTGTCCTTGCAAACCAAGGACACACTTCTTGCCTTGGAGGAGGGTGTTGTGGAGAGGAGAGACCTGAAAAGAAATAATTGAATCTTAGCTGGTTGTTTGTCTTAACTGGTAGTTTGTTGTTCCCAATAAATTTATCTTTATTTTCATCTTATTGTCAAAAAATGGAAAATGTTACCATGCGGTAGAAATTGACAGTATTTTAGAAAATGTTAAATAAAATCTCCTTTTTAATGGAGTATTGCAGTATTTAATGTGATTATTCATGGTTTAGGATTAGTAAGCATCAGCAACAACATAAAACTCTATTCTGATTGTTCTGACAGAAGTTTGATTATTAGAAAAATTGTTTTTCCTAAGAGGAAATTCTTCCATCAAGAGAGGTGCAACTCTGTTGTGATAACTGCAGATAATGAGCCACGTCCTGACTTGTGGCTCACTTAATAAATTTTTCTTTTTGGATCCTGAGAGTCCTTTCCACTGCATTGTTGCAGGAAAATATGGCACATGGCATGTCAGTTTAGGAACAATTTACACTATACTGCAGTAATTGTCAATACAATACAGGTTGTGAATGGAGAGGGAAAGAGGTACCCAGGAATATGTTTGTATTATTCTAAATGCATGTCATCATTAGTTTTGAGGAAAGACTCAGAGAGCCCCAACGAGAGCCTGTCTCACAACTACTCTTCCATTGTTTATGCAACCGATTTTGGTGACTGACACTAGTATAAAACTGGATTCAGATGCAGGGTGGGCCATGTCCATATGTCATTCAACATCCCAAAATACAGACCAAAGTTTTATCTCCGTATTCTAGATATGGGTTTCAAATACTCTTTTAGTTAAATAAAAACTACAAATCTTACACTATATGATTTGGATGTCCCTTGCAGCCATTATTTTTGAGGGAAGATGAGGCTAAACAAGTACTTTGACAAAAACTCCAATATAATTTTCAGTGTAATTACTACTTTGTTAACTTTTTCAGAAGTATTTCAGTATGATGCTGATACATTAATTATGAGTGTTTGTCATAGAGCTATAGAGGTAGTTTCTGTAGCTTCCTTCTAGAAAGACATAAAAAATCTCTAGTGTTTTATTTCCTTATTTCACTAACTGATATTAAAGTAATATTTTTGTCCTATGATACTGCAGAAATTACTCTTTCCAACATTTCTTTATTTACTAAAATGCTGAGGGGTTTTGTATGGCTGATAAACAGTTGTTTAGTCAATAGAGATATTGTATGAGAGTTCTCTGTATCAAATGGCTCCGCCATAAAACCTGCCAAAACGAGAAACAAAGGAGAAGTTTATTTTTGTGTACTCTATCTGGATACTGCAGCATTGTTGTCCATTTGAGTTCCTCATGACTTTCAATTCATTTTTCCTTCATATCCCTGTAGGTTAAAAAACAAAACAAAAAACCTCATAGGGCTGAATTGTTTTCTTGTCAAAAATGTAAATGAGTTGCTTACTTCCTACAAATAAGACTCTAGTCCTTCCTTCAGTTCAGCAGCAAAAGAAACGTACTGCTTATGTTGCTAGAGCTGTAGCTGTTGTCCAGTTTATGACAAATTGAGACATTCAGACATGTTCTTGGTAACTGCACCTAGAAA